GAACAACGTGTCCAAGTCGAATACGAAGAAGGTTGGAAGTTGATGTTTTGATGGGGAAATAAGAACAGAAGTAAGTATCTTAGCGAAGTAAGATAAATACTCTTCTCAAGAATAAGTTAAAGCTTGAACTCAAGGAAACACTAGAAGGCTCTTGAGAATGCTTGAAAGTGAATGAGAAACTCTTTTTTTCTCTCAAAGTTCACCAAGCACCAGCGTCTCTCTGCTATCTGCTCTCCAGTATCTTCCTCGGTATCGTGTACATGTGTGTAGGTGGGTATTTATAGCCATTAGGAGGCATAACCATAAAAAAGAATGCAAACAACCCATTGGCCATTGTCTCCTTTGGGCGAGATAGTGTCCACTGTCTCGGCCAAAGGAGACAGTGGAAGTGGTTTTGTAACTGCCATCCACTACCTTAAATTATATTAAATGCCATAATTTTCATGGGTAGTGGGCGTATTTCCAGGATATAACCGTTCATTAACGTTAATGAACATTCCTAAGCAGTTATGGAGCCACGTGGTCCCCACAAAACTCAACAAAACCATCAGAAAATACAAGAGTCTGTCTTGTAATTGGTGAGACAGCTCTCACTGTCTCGTATATCCGAGATAGTCTACACTGTCTCGGATATGCGAGACACTGTAGATTGTCTCACCAACTGTGAGATAGCTCTAAGTCCCTTTCGGCTATTGTTTTGTGTTCTCCTTTGCTTCCTTTTGCATTGAATGATTTTCTCTGACTTAGATGATGTCGTTCTTCGACTTCTCTTTATCTTGAGCTAAGTTTAGGACCTATAGGTAATTTTTGACGCCTACTGTGGTCATCAGCGTGTTTGTCTCGGGAAAAATTTTCTTTGTAGTTTCCATTAAATCGTTCAAAAGAAACAAATGAATGAGCCTTACACGTGTAATTCTCTTTTTTATAAAGAAACAAAATTATATTCCCTAGAAACACACACAGAAACTCCTATGTAGTAGCTTCTGCTTGTGTGGGATCTTTGTTTATGTCGGGGATGCGTTATCCGTGGACTACCGAGCAACGTCTCTAAGTCAGATACGAAGAAGGCTAAAAGTTGATGTTTCAAGGAGAAACAAGAACAAAAGTAAGTATCTTAGCAAAGTAAGATAAATACTCTTTTCAAGAACAAGTCTAAGCTTGAACTCAAGGAAAGACCGAGAGGCTCTTGAGAATGCGTAAAAGGGGATGAGGGATTCTCTCTTGCTCTCAAAGTTCACCAAATGTTAGCTTCTTTTTGCTATCTGCTCTTCAGTTCCTTCCTCGGTACCATGCACAAGTGTGTAGAGGGGTATTTATAGAAATTAGAAGCCATAACCGTCGAGTGGAAGTCAAAACAACTGATGGTAACTATCTTATGTGTACGAGACAGTGTCCACTGCCTCGACCAAATGAGGTAGTTTTTAGCACTTTGTAACCGCTGCCTACTACCTTAAAGTCCATTAAATGCCGCAATTTTTGTGGATAGTGGGAGTATTACAAAAACCGTCAGAAAACAAGTCAAAAAACAAGGGATGTTGTCTCGCAGTTGGCGGGACAGCTTCCACTGTCTCGCATAGCCGAGACAGTTTACATTGTCTTGGATATGCGAGAAAGTGAAGATTGTCTCACCAACAGTGAGACAGTTCTAAATCTTCTTCTGCGTTATTTTGCATTCTCCTTTGCTTCCTTTTGCCTTGGATGATCTTTTCTGACTTAGATGAAGACGTTCTTCATCTTCTCTCTGTCTTGAGCTAAGTTTAGGACCTATAGATAATTTTTGATGCCTACATTGAGTTTTACAACTCTGATTTAACTCAAACTTAATTTAATAGATTCATATTTGAAAGATAGACAATTATATATGATTATTAACTAGATCATACAAAATTATCCTGCATTCTTCTACACGAAATATATTACAACGCCTCCAACGATGAGCTATCGTGGTCATTTTTACTCTAAATTTTCTTGGGCTTTTCTTGAGCTTCATTGAGCTTGAATTGGGCTTAAGATATCTTCATCGAGCTCTCATTTATTTTCACTATTTTTCCTATAAAATAGGATTAAAACATAACATTAATTATTTGTTTAGTTGAAACTTATTTAAAGTTTATGACTATTATTAATGGCGTACATCACTCCACTCCTCTAGAATGATTCTAATATAGCATATTCTTACTCTTTTCACAAATCTGGGTAGAGAATCGTTGCCTCTGTTGATTCGATAGGAATATATAAACATAATCTAATAGGACATGTACTGCTATCGGAGTTAATAGTGACTTATTCTTTGGATGTGTTTGGATTTCATAGGGATAAGGTAAGTTAAACGAAAATGGAGGAGTGAATAGAAGAGAAGTTAAAGGAGTTCCCTTCCACTCCATTACACCCTAATTTGGAGGAATAATTTTCGTGTTGTTGGGTTGAACTAAGATGAACTAAAGGAATGCAAATGAAATAAGGAATTTTTTTTGAAAGAGACCTTTCTTGATAAATAGTTAGCAAAAATAACCATTTTTCTATATATTTAGCAAAATCGACCTCTTTATGGCCAGCTCACCAAGGCTAGCCAAAAAGAGGTTGATTTTGTAAAATATGAATTTCAAAACATAAGGGACTACTAGTCCCGTGTGTTTAGTGATCACTAATAGCAACCTAAGCAAGACTCAAAAAAACACACAGGACTAGTAGTCCCATTGAGTTTTTGGCACATTAATAGGAACCCCCCACTCTCCCTCCATTACTAGCGCCATCTTCTTCTTTTTCTTCTTCCCTATAAATTAACTATCAGCTCACCAAGACTAATTGCGGCTAGCTCAGCATCCTCCTCCAGCATCCTCCTCTTCCTCTTCCCCTCCCCTGCCCCAAATCCTTTATCCTATTCAACCCTCTCCTAATCCTCCGCATCCACCTCTTCCTCTCCCCCTCCACGGGCCCCAAATCTATTACCCTATTCAACTCCCTTCCTAATTCTCTGCATTTCCCTGGGGAAGATGGAGGCGGTGCTAGGAGAGGGAGGAGGGGAGGAAGAGGAAGGTGGAGGAGGGGGAGGGGAGGGGAAGAAGAGGAAGGAGGGAGGGGAAGGGAGGGAGAGACAAATGCTAAGGAAGGACTCGGATAAGAGGAGGGAGTAAAAGCACTTGGAGAGGGAACGGTAGCGAAGGAAGGAGGGGGTGAAGGGGAGGGTGAGGATGTGGTCGAGGAGAGGGAGGGTTGGAGAGGGAGCGACTGTCCATTTCTATAGTTGTTGAAGGAGATTGGGATGTTAAGGTTGAAGGCATGATGGTGATTTTCATGGTGTTGAGGGAATTTGAATTGGATATTTGGGCTGTTAACTGACTAGTCGTAGGTTCGAATCTTACTTGGCGAGATTTGATTGATTCTTAATTTCATTTTCATTAAAGAATGAAGACTTTCATTGAATTAAATTATGAAATTAAAGGGCTTGCTTTGACCGTTAGGGGTAGGTAACCCGTTCCCTGTCTTTGTTTCTATTGCATTCTATCTCATCGTATCACATTCTGTTCTACGATATTTGAGAATCACCGTCAATACCTCGGCGTAGATCCGGGGTAATCCCTTGTAAATAGCCCCAGGGCTGATTTTTGAATAGGAAAAAGAATGGATCCGCAGGGTCCCAAATGAATTAGCTTATTCGAAAAAAGCCTTGTTCTTTGGAAGACCTATCTCGTGTCTGGTACTACATGGTTCCACTCTGCAAAAACTCCGAATCATTCTCTTGAAGCTCATCCTCTTTATGATAAATGATCCGCCTCTGCAAAAACTCCGAATCATTCTCTTGAAGCTCATCCTCTTTATGATAAATGATCCGCTTGCCTCGAAATGACCCGGCCCAATAGGGAAATCCCAATTCAGTGGGCCTTTCCATACAATCAAATAGATTGTCACAAGGGCGCCATATTCTAGGAGCCCAAACTATGTGATTGAATAAATCATCCTCTATCTGTTTCGGGTCGAGGGCCCCTTCCCCTTCTTCAAACACCGATTCGTATTTTTCATAGAAAAAGATTCATTTTGCAACATATCTAACAGATTCCTTGGTTCGGACCGAAGAAGTAATGTCACTCGATTATTATCAAACTGACTGTAATCTTTTTCTGTCCGTGAGGATCCCGCGCATCTTTGGATGCATACGGTTCAAAAGAATTATGAAAAAAGAATCAATGTGTCGATTCCAATCCTATCTCTTTTTTTGTAACAGATTTCTGTTTTTCTAATGAAAATAAAGGGGTTTTTCTTATATTTTTTAAAAACCATAAGTTTTGGGCACCGACATCTCCCCTAAAAAAAGAATTTATTACTAAACTTAATTTCTTGAATTAACCTTTCATTGATGTATTCGATTCGCGTACAATCATAAATGATTTAAGAACTTCCACGGCAGATTCCGTAAAAATGTTTTGGATAATTGAGAGGGCGGGTGGAGTGATGGGTAATTTATATGGACGAAGAAGAAGAAGATGGTGGTGGTAATGGAGGGAGAGTAGGTAGTTTTCTGTTACTGTGCAGAAAATCCACTGGACTACTAGTCCCGTGGGTAGTAGTCCCATGGGTTTTCTGAGTCTTGTTTAGGCCGCGATTAGTGACTACTAAATACACGTGATTAATAGTCATGTGTGTTTTGAAAGCCATATTTTGCAAAATCGATCTCTTTTTGGCCAGTCTTGATGAGCCGAGTAAAACAAAGTCGATTTTTCTAAATATTTCGTATAACAGTCATTTTTGCTAAATATTTATATAAAAAAAAGCCTCTCTCAAGAAATTTTCTAACAAAATAAATGTCTCCCCCACCTTTCCTTCTCCCTTGTTGAACCCAATCCAAACAAGCATTTGTTAACCATTCGCTATACACTTCCAACCTAGGTTGGGCCAGACTTGCACTTGCTGACCATTTCTTATGCAGGTGCCCAAAGGCCACGTGGGCCCTACCGGTGCTCGTGGCAGGGCATGGGCTTTCAGTGTTAGGGCTCATGTAATATTTTGGTCTGCTTAAACCCGAAATCATTCATACTGCTACTTACCATTATAAACCCTCTACAATAATAATAATATGATGAAGATGATGATGATCTCCGTCTCCTCATCTCTCAATTCCCCTGTTTCCTTCACTCAACGCACACCATCACGACAAAGCATCAAGAATTGGAAGAAGTTGAAGAAGACATTTGGGAACCAGGTGATCTCACTGTAAAAAACTATTATTTGCGTTGATTCGGATCATTAAACCCTAGGCTTTTTCTCCCTATTTTGGTTGGTCATAGGCAGTGAATATCAACAGTAGGAGAGGAAGAGGAGGTATATGTAGAGCTGAGCTTGCACAGGACGTCCCTTTTGCTGCGGCTATTGGTGCTTGTGTTCTAACGTCGCTTCTGTCTCCGATTTCTCACACTGATTCTCTTGGTGGTGATGATGATGGAAATAGCAGGGGAGCCATTGATTCGACAGACGCGAGGTATGCGGTGATGGGGATTATTAGCTTCATCCCTTACTTCAATTGGATGGTGAGAAGACATCTTCTATTTGTGGTTTTGTTTTAGTTTTCCTATTTTATTTTTATTATCTGTTTGATTTTTGAAGTGTGGAATTTTCCTTTGAGGTTTCTGTATGTATGTGTTTGAGCAGAGTTGGGTGTTTGCTTGGCTTGACAGTGGTGAACAGCGTTATCTCGTCTATGCTGTGGTTTATTTGGCTCCTTACTTGAGGTTTGTGATTTGTGATGACCCCTTGCTCACCTCTAAGTGTCCCATCACACTGTTTTTAACTATGTTATTTAGGTTTTGCCCTCATTTCAAGTGTCGATAGGGATGACATATCTGTATGTTGACATTTCTATTTATTATTGTCTTGGTTTCATATTGGTTAGTAAGCTAGTTTTATATTCTCTATAAAACTAAAATTTTCTTTCCTTCACTTGTTAAGTGGAGAAGAAGAATACAGAAACATGGAAGTGAGAAAAGCCAAGGAAAACAAAGAGCAAAGAGTATGGGTGAGAACAGTCATGGTTTCATAGATAATAGATATATGTCAAAACGTATATCCTGTCAATTTATTTAATGGGTCAAGGTCATCGATTTATAGCTAAAATGCTTGATAATTGTGTTACTCACATCCATTCGTTTTAACCAATTATAAATAGATAAGATCATACATAAAAAGTTATTTATAATAGAAGAAAATCAAACTCATAGCTACATTTTAAGGTGAGCCCATGTATTTTAGCAATCTTTTTAATGATTGAGGAAAGTATTTATTTTGCTTATTTGCTATTTATATACGTTATTTTATTCTAAGAAATAATTTAATTTTTCATATGTGGGTCCCTTAACCGTGTCACCCAAAAATATTGAGATTAAGGCTTTACTATTGTTCTATTAAGGGGTACCCGCCCCATTTACAAGTTGGTGCAATTGGTTGACGTGGCGATTAGCTAATTACACATTTCCTACCTTATCTATGAGTTGTAGTTTCATGTCTGGTTCAAGTCAACTCATGAGGGTGTCCGAATCACATTAGAACCACCCGCATGCGAACGGGTAGTTCTGTGCCATTCGTGAGAGATGGTGGGGTTTAGTTTGGAAATTCAACACCCCTCTGAATGATAAAGAAGTACCTGCTCGCATGTGGGTAGTTCTGATTTGATTTGTCCTCATCAGGTTGGATCAAAATTGCCACCTTATTTGAAGATAGCAAACTAGAACAAGAAAAATACTATACTTCAAAGGGCAAAATTTACCTACCCAGCCTTTTCATTATCCTTCCATCAGTTCTTTTAGGCTCTGTTTGGTTTGAAGGAAAGTAGAGGAAAGGAAAAGGAAAGAGAAAGTAAAAAGAAAGGAAAAGAAAAAGAAAAAAAATGATATTCTTTTTATTGTTTGGTTAGAAAGAATATTGTATGGAAAGTTAGAAAAAAATTCATAAGAAAGTCATTTTCTCTTGCTTGGTTACCTTTCTGAGAAAAAGAGGAAGATAATTATCACAACTTAATTTTAATTCATACCTTTTGGAATTAGATTTAGATTTTAGATAATTACAAAAAACAATTAACAAGCAGAAGCACAACCACAATTCCACTAATATTCTCACACATAACATTTCTCACACATAATATTTGCAGAAAGAATGGTCAATGAAAGAACCAAAACAAATTTAAAGTAAATGTCAAGATATTCCTAATATAAAGTATAATCTATTTCTAGTCACGAAGTCTATTACAATCAATTTCATATAGAAAATCTTAACCAACAAAGTCTATTACAATCGATTTCATATAGAAGATCTTAACCAACAAGTCTATTACAATTAATTTCATATAGAGAATCTTAACCAGAGAGAGAGAGAGAAATATGCCGAAGTCCTTGGTTTTTGACTTTAGTGAGCCCATCAAAACATCAATCTCGCATCCTTCACCCCCTGAAATTAATTCAAAAAAATTCAAATAAGTAGAATATAAACATCGAAAACCTATAAAATGAAGTCTTAACATTTTTTGCTACTAAATGTAGGTTGATTTCTTTGACATGTCTTTTTGCTACTAAATGTAGCTTGACTACCAGGTTATTGACAAAGCACCCGACATGGATAATAAGGAATAAAATTTGTTGGTCCCTCCCATTTCTGCATTTGATAGGACTGGAAAAGGTAAAGAATTCTAAAAATATACTTTTACCCTTAGGGCATGCACACTTTTTTTTTGGTGAGAAATAGGCGCCGCTGAGAGTAAAAGAGTCAAAAACTTTCCACTCAAGGGGTGTATCTATCAATATCAAACTTAAAGGGTAATAAATGGCACTTTGCGATACTAATGGGGTCCGTGTGCAATTAACCCTTCAATCTAAATATGAACAACTCTGCCTGAAGAAATTAAATAAACAAATAAAACAAAGGAAGATCCTTCAGAGTCCACATTTCCGAACAGGTTTACTAAGACGGTAACGATTTTTTCTAAACTAAAACCAACTTCTATAGTGTGTGCAATTTGTGTATGCTTGTGTGTGACTGCATGTGTGTGTCAGTATGTGCTTGTATGTGCATCCTGCACATTCTTCCAAGTGGGGTAAGGTAAATAACAAACCATTTATATAAACAATTTAGAAAGGATGTAAGTTGATTTTTTTTCCCACTTGTCTATTTCATGATTTTTATTCGCTTGTCTATTTCATCTGTCATGCTTCTCAATATTTGCATGGATAGCTTAATTTGGATGAGAAGCACAATGATGTTCATTTTGAATGAACTAATACTCTCGTTACTACTTACTACATTAAAATAGCTAAGAACAATAAAGCTATGGTATCTTACTGCTAAGAAGTAGTACTGTTTGGTTTCTGTTAAACTTATAATTTTAAGGAGTTGCATGCTTTCTGGCCTTTTATCTTTTAAGTTATGGATCATACACCAGCCAAGCAATAGGTTCTAAAACAAAATTTGTGAGTGATTTTTGATGAATTATGGTTGACCTAAAAATTTGTAATTTATATGGCTAAACAACATAATATTTCCACACATAAACACGCACACATATGTAACTTTTCCATGTTAGGGGCATGTGAACAAGCTAGTCCTCTTAACTTATCCACATTGATATAAGCTGAGTGTTGTGGGAGACTGAATTAGTGTCGATAGCTCAGAAATTGCAAATATAAGTGAAACCATGGTCAATTTGTCAGAATATATCATTAGTTTGGCTTTTCATGATCTGCTTCCTCATGGAAGGACACATGTAACTAACCAAAAACACAAGGTTCCTGTACGAAGAATACAAAAGACAAGGTGAAATGTGTTATCTTCTCAAAACTAAAGGCAGCTTCATTCCACGCTAATATCCTGAAAGAAAATAAATAAAGTTGACAATTCTTGCATTGAGCTTCAAGTTACGAATAATTTAGAAGCATAAAATATCGATATTAAATTTTGCACAAGAAAACACCAATACACATAATAATCATGTTTAAAGGTCGTATAACATTATAGAAGAAGACCTGCCACCTTGTACCCCAAAGCTTGCCATGCCTAACTAATATTCATGGGACATTTAGTGCAGAAAAAAGAAATTTTTACTAGTAAAGAAATATATGAAAGGGAAAGCATCAGTTTTCAACAAATTTAGCTTCTTAGGAACACTAAAATACTGAATCAAGAACCATACGGAGAAGTAGTATCACATACCTCTTGGATGTCACCAACATAAATCCTGTTCCGGTATGTCTGAATAGAGATAATTGTATTTGGGAAGAGTTTGTTCTCACGTTTCCTGAGTAGTCTCCTTTTCTCCAGATCATACAATCTGAGAACTGGGCCAATCCCAGCAAGAAGCCTTCCCTGAAACTGACACAAGGCTAGTGGAATTCCCTCTACCTGTGTCTTATGCAGCAATTCAAGGGATTTTCCATCTTCTATAAACCTGTATATGTGAATAAACCCAGCAACAAAAGTCATCTTTGGCCAGAACTGCAACCCCTTTGCTGTACCCACAGCAAGTAGAGTCCCATGCTCCTTATCATGAAAATTCACAGTACATGCGCTAAAAGCAGCCTCATTGTCCTGCAGCTCCAGCAAACAAGTAGTGTTTCCTGACCTTGGATCGAGAACTCTGATGCAAGACGCCCACTTATCTGATTCTGCCTTCGGATAACCATACTGCTCATCAGAAAGAAGATCTTCCTTCTCCTCATCATCAGCACCATTCTCCATCTGTTCACCATTATTTGCATTTCCATTTCACCAACACCTGCAGCCTCCAAGCACTCTTTTCTCTCCGATTCGTGCTCTTCTGCAGTGATTTTTGATGAAGTATGGTTGACCATATCCACTACAGTTCTGAACAGGACACCATTTTGCAGACCAGCATTAAGAAATACATTACTTAATTCTCTTTTATGCTGTTTCAACATATATTTAAATTAGTTGAATATATCACAATAAAACAGTCAGATAAACTATGTAATTGAGGTACAAAAATCTTTAATTTTTTCATTATTCATGCTAATATTTCACCATAAACGGCATCAAAATGCAAGTCAAAGGATTTGAGGACACTTACTACGAGCATCCTATTGACAGACCGTCTTGTCTCCTGCCACAGTTACAATCAAGTCATTGTGCTTAGGATCCCAACACAACTGATCCACACTATCCGTGTGCCCTTTCAGTTCAACATCTTTCACTTTCCTCTAAATTAAGGACACAAAACAAAAATTCTTGCTATTTTTATTCTACACAATCAAATGTAGAATGGGAACACTGATTTCTTGTAGGAATATAAACTTCTATATTGAGGATATGAAGGGAATAAAACTAGAAGAAATTAATCTATTAGAGCTATGGAGTAAAAGAACTGACAAATTCTATCATGCAAATTCTATGAATTATAATGGCACCATGAGCTATCAATCAAATAATTTTGGCTAGCAGTAAATTATAAATTACATAAAAAAAATCTAAATTTCTGCCATTTCCTATTACGACAAAGCTACTAAACAATACAAAAGCTAAATTTGGAAGAGCAGATAATTAGTAAATTTTGTTAAAAACAAAAGTTCTGCTAGAAATTAGATGGTAAAGCCCATATCAATTGCAAAAATTAGTAAATTTTGTTAAAAACAAAAGTTCTGCTAGAAATTAGATGGTAAAGCCCATATCAATTGCAAAAATTAAAACCCTAGAAAATCAAAATATGGAATAATTGTAATTAAAAAAAAACCCTAGAATCTAAACTTACCTTCTCTTGATCTGAGGATTGGGGATCGGAGATAAGGGGAGATCGGGGGGCAGGAGATGAGATTGGAGATCCAGAAGTGGAGATCGAGGGAGAGAAGATCGGAGGCCAGAGGTGATCGAAGGTGGAGCTCGAGCTTGAGCTCGAGAAAGAAGAGATCGGAGGCCAGAGGTCGAGCTCGAGCTAGGTCAACTAGGTCGGGGATGGAGTCGGGAATTTCAAGGAGGCGTCGGGGGAGATTTTCTCTCTCTCTCTCATTTTCGCTCCGTTTGAGTCGGGAAAGGAGAAGAGAACTGAGAAGATACATGACTTTCTCTGCTGATTTTAACATTCACTTTCCTTTTCATTTTCTTTCAAACCAAACAAGGAAAATATACTTTCTATTGCACTTTCTTTTCCTTTCATCTACTTTCCTTCAAACCAAACAGAGCCTTAAGTTCATTTCAACCTAGATTCCTTAACAACCATTTTGGTATATAGCTCCACTAATCTGTGACGTTGGAAATTATTTTGTCTTAGGTGAGTTAAAACTGATTTTCAACTTAGATAACCGTCTTTTTTGTTGTCCCAAAAAACCTAAAGGATCAGATTGGAGCAAGTTCTCTTTTCAAGATTAAGGTTGGTTATAATATAATGTAGCATTATGCTAATGGTCATTAGATCAGGAAGTTTATGTACAAATTGTTCAATGTAAGTTACATTTTTCTTGTTTTTGTTTGGGGGTACTTTGAGGACTAGACATGTTCCATTCTGCAACCCATGCCTACTGTTTGCCAATCCTCAAGGATTACATTTAAGTAAAATACAAAAGGAAAAATACCTTGTAAGAGGAAACTAGTAGAACTAAGTTGACAAATAATGTGAAATATCAATATTGGAAGATAACCTAGTTAACTAGAAGTCAAGAGGGGAACAATAAGTTATTATCTTTATATTACTCAAATGCGAAACAAACAAAAGGTGTTCCTTTTGATGTAAGAGAAGTCTTGTTCAACACTATGTATATATTCTTTTATACATTCTTAAAAAAACATCATTTGGCAATTCTTTTAAATTTAACCTTATTGTTCTATTTCCTTACAATATTCGGGTTTTAGAGAGGAAAGTTTTAAGCAACTTAACATGCCTGATTCAACTAAATGTTTTTTGTGACTACAAGCAATGTCTACGCTCATCTAAATCCCCTAAAAAAAATCCTTTCCAGTTATATATAGCATGTCTTTTAGATTATTTTTTTGTCTTTCTTGGTAAACAACTAATATGGGGTTGGAGTCCAATGTAAGGTTTTGTAGACACGAGGGTTTTGATTTAACCTAGTTTATTTCTTCATCTTTACCAATCCTTTTTTTTTAATTTTTTTATGAATCATCTTTACCAAAACTTATCCTAGCTTATTTGTACTTTAAAAAAATAATAACTATAATTCAAACTTTAAAGATTAGGCAACTTTAGTTTTGGGATTGAATTACATTGTGAGAATAGCAATGAATTTAAGATGTTATTTTCAGAAATATCTCAATTTCCCATAAAGAAATCTCGATGAAACCTTCAAAGGAGTTCATGCTTGTACTAGTTTTTAAAGAGATAATTGTGCTCAGCGGAGAGCTTTTATGAAACTCCATCTGATAATAACGTTAGACGGGAAGATGTATAGTTTCTTGAAATGACAAAGGTGGAGAAGGTAAAGGGTTGCTAGAAAAGGATCTTTAAGAGTCAGGAGTAACCTAACTAGTCGTAGTTCAATGGAATTGCCTAACTCCGAAACGTGGCATAAGCTAAGGCTCCAACTAATTTTCATTAAATCTCCAAATCATCATGGAGATGGGGCCTCTCCTCTTTTAGTCTTATTTATAGTAGAGTACGCATTAATTGTTGTAGGCAGTCACTGTTAGAGTAGTAGGCTTCAGTGTACTATCTGGAATCTCCAACATTAGCAAAGTGGTCAGGGGACATACATTCAGTGAGGCACCTGTGTCAACCGACAGTCTGAGGAATGGATTATTCCTTATAATCAATGGTCAAGTAAAGCGGGTATGAACGAACACCCTTTGAGAGCATGTGGCACGAAGGCCTCAGGTCCGAAGGTGATGAGTTAACTTAGGAAAAAGATGGAAATTTATGGACTAATGGAAAAAGGGTGGATTTTAGATAATTGAGACTGCTGTCGATTTTGTTAGTTTTGGTTTGAAATTTTTGAAATTAACCGACAAAACATATTTTATAACCCAATTGAACCATTAAATTTTGTTGGTTTAGTTGGTTTAATCGATTTAAACTGATGAATGCTCACTTTTAATTTTACTTTCCACATTTTAAACTTTGCTTGTGACTTTTATCCTGAGGGTTCTATTTATAATATAATTTTGTAGGACAAACCTGTCGCTTTCTCCAGAGGAGAGTTGGCTACCCATCGCTAGCATAGTTCTCTGCATCATTCATGTTCAGGTGGCTTATGAAACCTTTTGGATTCAGATCTTCTTCGGTTAGGTGGTAGTTGGAGAGGATTCAATTCTCTCAATCCTTACAATCTATCTTAATTCTAATGAATGTGAAGACACCATCTAAGATTTCCACTATCTCAAATAATGGTTTTGATTATAGTGGTTTTCCAGTTTCCTTGTGGTTACAAGATCAAAGTGGTTTTCAAGATAATAATAAAAATCTTACGCGGCGTGATCTCATTCATTGGAAGTGATATACATGAGAAGGATTGAAAGAATTGGACTTTCTCCGATTACCACATGATTGGAGAGGATCCGGATTCAAACTGTTTTTATTCTCTTTTTAATTATGAAATTTAAGTTTGTTTCTTCTGAGAATCATCCTTGTTGGCAGCTGGAAGCAAGCATGAGGAATGGAGATCTCAATGGCATTCAATTCTTTGGCAAAGCTGTTAATTTGTTTTCGCCATCTATAGGCAGCGAGGATGATAAATTTGAGAGTGACCAAAAAGTTTCCAATAAGATAAAGAATAGGAAGCTGGCAGATCTACATTCCACAGAAGAAGACCTAAGAGATGAATTAGGTGACTGGGGAACTCCTCGGAAACACATGCATGATCCCCATCGTGTGAAAGAATATTCGGACGTAGATGAAACCGAAAATAGAACAGATTAGTAAGATATGCTGAGCAATTTGTATCTATTTGAAGGATAGGTAAAGACGGGGTTGCATTCTGTTGTCATAAAATATGGATTTATATACTACATGCCCTTTTTATATATTTCATGTCCTTTTTTCGTTTACTTGGGAATTAGATAAGAACTGCCAGTGATTTTACCTGCTAGCTGGGGGCATTTCACATCAAACTTTGCGTAGCTTATGCTTATTCTCATAAAAATGTGCTTTGACCCTAACATTTTACTTTTTTTTTAAATACGTCTTGGAGGCTTCTCTAGGAAGAAAGGGGGAAATTCCACTAGTAGAAACAGGGGCAGCCCCAACGGTTCAAACCGTTGGGGCAAATAATGTCCCCAACGGTTTCAACCGTTGGGGCAAAAAAAAGCCCGTTGGGACAAATTGCGTTGGGGCAAAGTTTGTCCCAACGGTTCTTTTAGCAGCACCAACGGTTCCAACCGTTGGTGCTGATATTTTTTTCATTTTAATTTTTAAAATATAAAAAAAATTGCACCAACGGTTGGAACCGTTGGTACCACAAAAATATTTGTTCACGTAACAATCATTGACAACTTGTATCATAAATTCAGGCACTTACAAAATACAATCTACAAAATTGGTGTACATGAGAAGCATGAACAATTACATGAGTGTCTCACAAACACAAAATATATAAAGTTTTGGTGCTCAAACATAGCACTTAACACGCCCAAAATAAACCAAACTTTGGCACACAAACATGACATCTTGGATATAATAAACATTCAAAATTGTCATTGAACCCTTCGTGTAATAGGCTCATAGTTTTTGACTGTAGATTGTCCTTGAACTGCCAATTCATCAGTAGCAGAGGAGTGAGCTTGATGAGTGTTGAATTGGCTGCAACTCGCCTTAGAAATTTCAGTGTTGAAATGTTTCAGTGGCATCTCTCTTGCAGCCGCTACATTCCCTCCCCATCCAAGCATCCTTCCTCTAGCATAGTTGTGCATCCTTCCCGTATTAAAGTTCAGCTTCATGCATTGAGATTAAAAGCCAAGATATGAAAGATGTTCAATGTAATAGCAAAAAGTAATAACTAGTATCATAAATGCATAAGTACAAAAACTACCTTCCTCCACTTCTAGCTCTCCCTCTTCCCCTTGAACTAGCTGAATCTTCCCTTGCAGGATGTGGATTTTCTTTTGTTATATTTATTGCGGTTGTGTTGAGTGGATCCTTGCATGCATGTAACCTTGTGATGCTCCCATCCCTTGCACCTAGTACATTTGACTTTTTCATGTTTTTTCCCATCTATTTCATCTACTCTCCTAAATCTCTTGGTCTTCGTCTTTGTCTTTTTGTGTTTGGAGTACTAACAATATAGTCTTTCTGAAGTGGTGGCAATTGATTCTTTGAAGGTTGAGTTTCAATAGACATTGCATATGCTTTTCTATATCTACAATAAAATAATAAAGGTTTATCAGATGTTATCTATGCATTGCAAAAGTGAAGCAGTCGTAATAAATTCTATGTATCATACCTCTCGACGGTGAAGCACCATCACTTGCTGCCTTTCTTCTGGTGCTTCTCTGTTTATGAAAAAACTAGGATAAGAAGAAGTAAAGACAAATTTTTGAACAACAGACATGCGAGAGATTACTTGATCTCCTTTTAGCTTCAGACTTTTCAAAGAAATCTTTCCATTCATCAGTTATGACAAACATAACATCTCCTTCTTCGTCTTCGAGCTCCAAGTTCTCTTCCAACTCTCCCTGCTCCAATTTGCTAATAGTAGAATAAACAGATTACTAATAGTAGAATAAACTGATTTAAGTATCAAGGTTCATTGAGAAAATAATTGTAACTTCTATAGAAGAAAAATAGTATCACAAAATACCGCACAAGAAGAAAAATAGTAAATATCAGCATAACATCAACAAATTAAAACGTAGTATCATCATTGTAACTTTTATAGAAGTTCCAACTCTGTCCACAGTTAAGAACAGATGGCTGAAATAGCAGTTCCTTGCATAGCTCACATAACACATCATCCACAGAAACTTGCTTGTGCTTTCCGATTTCAAGACCAGTTTCTGGAGGGCAAGGTTCTTTAGCTGTTATGACTTAGCTAGCTTTAAGATCCTCAATAGATTTTTGAATCTCTTCTGAAGCTCCTGAGTCCTCTTCAATTAGATAAAAAGATGATCATACGTTAGTCACCAGAGAATAAATAACTGAAGAAGTTAACGTTCTAGAGGACAACTTACTAGTGATAGTCACCAGAGAATAAATAACTGAAGAAGTTAACGTTCTAGAGGACAACTTACTAGTGATCATAGAGTTCTCAAACTGAGGAGAAAATACATTGAGACGTTAACGTTCTAGAGGACAACTTACTAGTGATCATAGAGTTCTCAAACTGAGGAGAAAATACATTGAGATGTTTTTCTTCCTCTAAGATACCAAGATAGTTGAAAAGAAAAATGCGTGAAATTAGTAACGCTCATAGAGGAAAATAAGTAAAGGGCAAGATAATTCATACAATACTCATAATGAAACAAGAACAGTATATGAAATAGAGAATTTCATCAACATATCACAAACCAGATGTATATTCAAGAGACACATGTGACACATTGAATATATAACCAAATTTTGTGTAAGATTAAAGATCTCATATTACGTCAAGCATCATCCAAAGTTGAAAAACAATTTGAATATTTTCTAACACAAAATTTTTTTATCTACTTAACTTGGTTATTTGCAAGCGATGCAGGTTTCTAGCAGTTTCTGTGTGGTGTGGAAAATGGTTGGATGTGTAGGTACTGTTTCTGGGATGCTGAGGATGGACTATGGAGTCTATGCACCTAGACTGCTAGAGACCAAACACAAATTATTTTGAGTCGTGGTCATTAAGTAACAGTATTTGATTGAATCTGCACATAAATGTTTCTAAGGCTAACAATATGAACTATCAGCTATGGCTACTGTAATTGCTAAAACAGATACCAACTTAGATGCTATGATTACCAAGAGCTAATAAGCATTAACACAAAATACAACCAGACACACGGAAATGCTTTAAAGAGTAGATGGGAACTAGACAATTTGATACTAGAATATATACAAGGAAATAAACAAGATGTTACATACATATACATACATATTGACATTCATGTGTTGGCACATACTAATAAAACTACATAATTTCTTATTAAAATATGATAAAACACAACAAAATACTTGCATATCAAAATGTTCCATAAAATACAATAAAATATCATATAAAAACGATATACAAAATCTAGTTTGTAGCTATCCTTCCGTCTGTAAACAACCCAGATTCCAAATCCATATAAAAACGACATCCTCTAAAACTCAGATTATTTTTCAAAATTACCATCACAAAACATTGTCTTAAACACAAAGAAAACCCTTAAACAACATAAGGTTGCATGTTTGGAGCTCAAATCCAGAGTAATCAACGAAAAGGATCATTCCCTACATACACACAGATAAAAGTCCCTAAACTATCAACAAAATTGACATTAAAAAAATGCAATTAATCAAAAATGGGAGAAAATATATTATCCTATTCTCTAAACTCAGGTTACTTCTCAAAATCAACATCAAACAGTTGTCTTCACAGAAAGAAAACCCTTAAACAACATAAGGCTGCAATTAGGAGCTCAAATTAACAGTGATTAAAATTAAGGATCATTCTCTACATACAAACAGACAAAATTATCCTTAGGCCAATCAAAAGAAATTGCCATCAAAAAGTAGAAAATTAATGAAAATTAAGGGGGAAGATAAGTTACCCATTCACTTGATCAGTGAAAGAAAGAGAGGCGAATTCCCCTTTAGTTCTTGACATCGAGATTTGGGAGACGCTCGACTCTCCATCAGGAGCTTTACTGACCTCTGAATTGAGAAAAGGACGTATCTTTTCAATGATCCGAAGCCCTCGATACAAATTGGTAATATATGACAAATTAAAATCCACTAAAATCAGAATAATATATGACAAATTCTAACAGTAAAAACCTAAGCTAAAGACCAACAGATCTAGACAGAGATAATATATGACAAACAAACCATTAGAAAACAAACTAAAATCCACTAAAATCTCAATAACAATAAAGAAAAGTCAGAATAATATATGACAAATTCTTTTTAATTTGTCATTTATTAGGGTTAGGGTTTTGAGGTAGAGGACTTACAAGTGAGACGTCCGGCGAAAATGGGGAGCAAGAGAGGCGGCGAGGTCCGAATTAGGGAGGAAGAACTAGGGTTTTTTGAGGGGGACTCGGTGGCAAACTGCAGGGCTCGACGGCGGCCTCTGACGGCAGCGACGAGTTTAGAATTGGGGGTAGAAGGAGCACGGGATTGAGGTTTTTTGAAGAGAGAGAGAAAGAGAGAGAGAGAGAGAGAGAGCGGGGGTTAATCTGAGGGGTTTGGCTGGTTTTTTTAATTTTCGCGAAAATAAATGGGGGGAAATTTCCCTCTCATGTCCGTGTAGGTGAAACCCACTTGCCCTAACTATTTGAACCGTTGGGGCGGCTAAAATCAGTCCCAACGGTTCTTTTCACCTGTTGGGGCTGGGCCTCTTTTTAGTAGTGAAAAGATTTGCTGGGTTCTGTATGGATGTGGTTGTTGCTTATAAATCATTGTTCAATTTCATATTTGTAGCTGGATTGATGGTAAAAGCGTGCGACTTCTTGTTCCTGGAACTCCATAGAGTTTGCATCAAGATTTGGCCCGTTGAAGGAGCTGCTGTAGAAAATCACTGTTGGAGAGTTACATGATCAAGGTGTTACGTGTGAAGACTTTCGGGTGATCATCAAGTGCAACTGAATAAAAAAAAAATTACTTTTTAGGATCACTACTCCAAACTACCTTGGAGCATAGATTTTGCAAGGTTGTGGCTTGATTTATGAAGAATCACACAACACAACCGATCCAAACTACAACAAGAGACTTTTTTCAATCATAGAATTTAACACTTGAGTTGGTTTCATAGTTACGATAATTCTCAGACAATCACCGTGCCTGTAATCAAAGTAAAAATAGTCCAAAAACTCATTCTAATAAAGTAAGCTAAGATTAAAATCATATCTAAACGTGTATATCCTATAAATTGCTTTTG